TAGACAGACTCGAGCCTACGCTCAGCTCTTTCACTGCCACAGAATGGCTTAACTCCAGCAAAACGGCGCTCGTTTGGCCAAATCGTAAGTATACACCGACGTCTAAGGTGTCATTCGCATATGCTACACCAAGATAGTCAGACTTCCCTATATCATTTAATTGAGCTTCCTTTACGTGCAGAGTACCGGTAGGGCCATTTCTCAACTACAAAAAAGTGCCAGTTTTTGTAAGCCTGATTTTGATGCTGGCCTCGTCGCGGTTAGCAGCGAAATGATCAAGCGCACGTTGGTGTTCATTCGAACATGAATAGATCATCTGTACACAACATATAGCTCAGTCGGACCTTGCGAAATGAAACGTTCTCTATGCCAAGGCTGCGTCTGATATTCCAGTCCATGAAAATTATCCATAAGATAGGAGATAAAGTAAATCATCGATGGAGACCAAAGTACAATTTGCAAGGTGCTCTTTATCATCTATTATGACACACTTCTGAGCAGTCCCATAAAGATGCAATAGCCTTAAATAGCCAGTCACTTACTCTGCGTTCCTGCAGCTTTCTACAGATTGGAACGGAGCATATTGTCGTAAGCGTTTCAGAGGTCTGCGTAGCAAGCATAAGCCGCCTCCGCACATCAAAGCAATTCTCGCAGACCTGTTAAATTCTGGACGAGAGAGTTCTGGCTATGACAGAAAGAGAAGCAGAAAAAATCAGGATTCTTCGAGGGATTGCAGGTATGACGAATTTCTACAAGGTTCAGAAGAAGGAAGTTTGCGATACTCTCGACTTTGAGTCTGTCGTTCTGCAAGTGGAGACAAAATATTGCAGGACAGTTTGGACTTGTTATAAAAATATCGTAGGATAGACTCGCAAGGGGCACTCTGTCAACAAAGCCACAGATAAAATAGCAGTAATACCGGAGACTAGATGGCTCGATTTTACAGAAGACCTGGCACTTTCATGGTTTCGAATTCATACAATAGTCTATTTGGAAGCGGACTCGTCATCATCGTTTGCGCGTAGTCG